TGTGTGTGTGTGTGTGTGTGTGTGTGTGTGTGTGTGTGTGTGTGTGTGTGTGTGTATGTATATAGAAGCATACTGTGGGGTAAGATATCCCTAACACCCCTCGGTGTGTGTGTGTTCTGTTATGATACATCCTGTTGTGCCTTCAAATGGCTTCTGTGCAGTGCAGTGGAGTTGCCATGGTAATGACTTCACAGTACTCCACAAGGGGGCTCCCTCTGGTAAGGGGGAAAATCCAACATTAGAAATTACATTTGGTCCGGACATTTTTCCCCCTATAAATAAATATCTGGGCAACGCCGGGTTATTAGCACTACTTGTTTATAAAAACAATAAAGGCGGGATATGAATTAAATAAATAAATCCAGGTTAATGTTTGAGGGTAGAAAAGGCCCAGCCTTTTCAATTTGTTTCAGTTTGCAGTTTATTTAATCTCTTGGATCAAATTCTTTCCTTCCCAGATCTTTATAAGAAGATTCTGGAAACTACCATGACACCATCCGGGATAGATACCGGAAAACTCTATCCGATTCTGATGTCTTCTGGGCTTCCCAGAGAAACTCTTGGACAAATCTGGGCCTTAGCCAATCGCACCACTCCAGGGAAGCTGACAAAAGAAGAACTCTACACCGTTTTGGCTATGATTGCGCTAACTCAGGTAGGAATCAAGATCAGAGATAAAACTGGAGGGGGGTACGACAACATCCTTAATGACTTGTCTATCGAGGGGCAGCTTTACCTGCAAATACAGGCAGTCCTCAACTTACAACCATTCATTTAGTGACCATTGAAAGGCATAGCAGCACTGAAAAAAGTGACTTATGACCATTTTTCATATTTATAACCATTGCAGCATCCACATATGCATGTGATTAAAATTCATGTGCTTGGCAATTGGCTCATATTGATGACAGTCAGTATCCTGGGGTCATGTGTGACCTCGTGTGTCAACTCCTAAAGTTGCCATGGTGAGGAAAGTTGTGGGGAGCACATTCCACACATACTTTCGGCTAGAGTCGGATCTCAGATTACCGCAGCAGACTTGGGAGGGGTGCACCTCATTGGGGAATGTGATTCATGACACAGACTGAGGGGAGGGAAGGAACAGGGGTAAAGTTCAGCTATAAATCGAATAAGGCTCAGATCTGACTGCAAAAAGGTCTTGCCAATAAATGCTCCTAATAATTGACTTTTTTTTTTTTGAAATTTGGCTTGAGACTCATGAATCAGTTAGGGCATTTTTTGGAAACCTGACATTGTGATCTCCTCCTCCTCCTGACAAGCAAATTCAGTGGGGAAGCCCGATTCATTAAAGAACATATGACTAACTTAACAAGTGCAGTGATTCTTTTAAGAACAGTGCCAAGAAAGGTCATAAAGTGGGGCAAAATTACCTTAGCAACAGGAATTTGGGACTCAATTGTGGTTGTAAATTGAGAACTACCTGTAGTCCTAGCCTTCAGTTAAGATTGCCAGAACTGCCCTGTGGAACCTGATAGGGTAATGGGGATGTAAAGCTTTATAATCTTTTTTTTAAGTTTTTTATTTTTATTTCTCATACCGTATTTTTCAGACTATAAGACGCACCAAAATTTTGAAGAAGTATTTTTTTTTAAAAAAGTCTTTGTACTCTGCAGGTCACCCAAACCCTCTACACGTCTCATTTTTTTGTGAAAAATGGGGCATACAAAGAGTTTGAGAGGTCTGCAAAGTGTCCCTGGGGGTTTGGGGGGGGGGGCAAAAATGAGCAAAAAACCCACTCTGTTTTTTGCCAAAAAAGGGCATGTATAGCCTTTAAGAGGCTTCGGGAGACCAAAAATGCTGTATTCAGTGTATATGACGCACCCAGATTTTCACCCTCTTTTTTGGGGGGGAAAAGGTGCATGTTATACTCCAAAAAATATGGTACATGCATTCACAAATATACAATCTCATTACTATTATTAATAATGCATGTTATCTTTTAACATTTATAACAATTTTTCTCCCCTACAATAAACAATATGATCCAGATTGCTTTTCTACCATTCCATACACCCGTCTTATTTTACAACAACCCTACTTCTTCTTCCTTCCTTCCCTCCCTTCTCTCCTTCTCTACTTTCTTCTATCCTTCTCTCCTTTCCCTTCTCTCCTTTCCCTTCCTTTCCCCCACTCCTCCCCTCTTCTTCCCTTTCCTACCCTCACTCCTACTCTTATTTCCCCTCCATTTCTTCCTCTCCTTTTCCTTTTTTTTCTTTCCCTCTCCTTTCTCCTCTCCTCTTCCTATCTTTCTCTCTACTCCTCTCTCCATTGCCCCTTTCCGTTGTTGTGTTTAGATATTTTCCTCTTCAATCCGGTGTATTTTCGTGATGGTATTCTAGCAAAATCGGTTCAGTATTTACATAGCAATCTTAAATTCCCTCTTCCACAATTTATTTTCATTTTAATAGTTACACAGACATCATCAAATAAAGCTCTGTAATCTGAGGAGCCATTTCACCCTAATGGGACTAGCACAGTGATGGCGAATCTTTTTGGCACTGAGTGCCTAAACTGGAACATGTGCGTGTCAAGAGTGCTGGAAACCCGAAGACCAGCTGGTTGGTGCGCATGCATGCACCAGCCACCTGCTCTTTGGGTTTCCAGCAAACGCATGCGTGCCGGCCAGCTGGTCTTCGCACATCCCGGTGTGCTGGCCAGATGGTCTTGGGGTTTCTGGTGCTCCAGTGTGCGCGAAGACCAGAAGGCCAGGTGGCTGGCACATGTGCCCACAGAGAGGGCTCTGCATGTCACCTCTGGCACGTGTGCCACAGGTTCACCATCACGGGACTAGCCCATCCAACCTGTTTCAGCAAAATGGACTTCAGATCCCATTTGCCAAAGAAGGTTGGCCGGCGGTCCTTTTCTGCAGTGGCCCCCACCCCCTTGAAGATTCCCCCGCTGGAGGTACGGCCTGCCCTGACTGACTCTCCTGGCTTTCCAGAAGGTCCTAAAAACATGGGTCAGCCCCTTGGCCTGAGCTCCGACAGGGTCAGCTATGTTGTTGGTGGTTGACCAGATAAAGAACATCTCCACCCAGGTGTGCCTATCGATTTGGTTTTTAGCTTTTCTATTTAATTCGTTTAACTTTAGTGGTTTTGTGGAACAGAATGCCACGGTAAATGGGATTTGGTATACGCTCAGGCATAGTTCTTAGCATGTTCTTGCAACACACACACACACACACACACACACTATATTGTTTGTAAGAAGTTTATAGATACACATACCCACATCTAGGTTTTAATGTTCTACCATAACTTTGGAGGTTCCACCATAACTTTGAACAGTCACTAAACAACCAGTCATAACACAAAGACTGTGTCAGGTTTCCAAAAGATGCCCTAATTAATTCATGAGCCTCGAGCCAAATTTCAAAAGAAATCCAGTCATTTATTAGGAACACCATTTCGGGAATACCCTACTGCCGTCAGATCTGACCTTATTTTAATTATGGCTGACCTTTCCCACTGTTTCTTTCCTCCCCTCAGTCTGTGTCATAAATCACATTCTCCAACGAGGTGCACACCTCACAAGCCCGCTGTAGTAATCTGAAATCCGACTCTAGCCAAAGGTATGCGTGGAATGCGCTCCCCCCACCCCTTTCCTCACCATGGCAACTTTATGAGTTGACAGACTTCTTACAATTCATTTTCTGGGTTTCACAACACACTGAAACAACCGAGCCAAACTGGTTTACATGCAACATATTAGGCCAAAACTAACGTTAGCACCAATGATGTAGTACATGATGTGCAAATGCTTTAGTTGACTCGGTTGTGCGAACGCTCTGTTTTCTGTGGTTTTTTTCCCCCTCATACAGAGAGGAGTGCCAGCCATGAGCCCTGAAGGTTTAAACCAGTTTCCTTCTGCCCCCATCCCTACCTTAAGCGGGCTTCAGATGGCCATCCCTGTCACAGTCAGCCAACAGCCTTTGATGCCTCCTGGGCCACCGGTTTCCATGCCTCTTAATATAGGACCAACAGTGGTGGGGATCAGCATGGCAGCAACAGTGGGTGGAGCCACCACACAGCCTTCCAGCAGCTTCATCCAACCTTTCCCTGCAAACCAGGTTAGTGCCGATATGTTCCCCGCCGTAAAGCTGGTTTAAGGCAACTTGTTCTTTTAACTTTTGACTTTCAGCCATGGAATTCAAGCATCTGTCTGAACATATTATCTAGACCAGGCGTGGTCGAAGCCCCTGAAGACAAGCAGCAATGGATGGCAAATTAATCAAGGAGAGAAGCAACCTTGGAACTAAGGAGAAATTTCCTAACAGATGAATTAATCAGTGGAACAGAAGTTGCCTCTAGAAGTTGTGGATGCTGCAACACTGGAAGTTTTTAAGAAGATTTTGGACAACCACTTGTCTGAAATGGTATAGAGCAGTGATGGCTAACCTTTTCAGCACCCATTGCTCAAATCCACCCACCCCTCCAGAGCCCCGGAAACTGGAAGATCAGGTGGCCGGTACGCATGCATGCGCCACCTACTTGGTCTTCCTGTTTCAGTCATGTGCATGCACGCTGGCCAACTGGTCTTTGCACGCCCCAGAGCACCGAGAACCGGAAGACCAGATGGCCGTTCGCCATCACTAGTTTAGAGTTTCCTGCTTAAGCTGGGGGTTGGACTAGAAGACCTCCAAGGTCTCTTACAACTCTGCTATCCTGTATGGCGACTTGACAACCTGTGGACATCATCTCCCAGAATTCCTGAGCTAGCCATGCCTAGGATACTGATTTAGATAAGAGTTATTTATTATTATGCTTTTATAATTTTGTTCCCATAGAATTCTGGGAGTTGAAATCCACAGGTCAAAAAGTTGCCAGATTTAATGGCTCCTGGTCTAGGCCAATTATTTTGAAGCGCCTGGTTGAAAGAAAGGGAGACAGAAAACTGTCTTTTTGTGCAGAAAACTGATTTCTGCTCTTGACAGATATTCTTTTCTTCTTTGCAATATGACAATGTAGGAGCTTATTAGTTGTATAGATTCATGGACTAAAAATAAAAAAAATGTTTTGTTTTTAGGTATATATGAACAACAAAGCTTTCAGGTTTTTAATCAATCAATCAATCAGCTGGAAGGGACCTTGGAGGTCTTTTAGTCCAGCCCCCTGTTCAAGCAGGAGACCCTATACCAGGGGTGTCAATCTGGCGGCCCGTGGGCCTGGTGCGTCATGTGCAGGCCACACCCACCCCAGCTCCGCGAAGGGGGAAAACGTGAGTTTGACACCTATGCTCTATACCATTTCAGGCAGGTGACTGTCCAGTCTCTTCTTAGAAACCTCCAGTGATGAAGCACCCTCAACTGCCCTAACCCTAACCCTAACCCTAAAGAGTTTCTCTGTTTAATTCCAGGTTGCTTCTCTCCTTGATTAGTTTTCCTCCATTGTTTCTTGTCCTGCCCTCAGGTGCTTTGGAGAATAAATTGACCCCCTTCCTCTTTGTGGCAGCCTTCTATTTGATAGAAATGAAATGCTCCACTTGACAGTTGGAAAAAAAGTTACTGAATTCAATCCTGTTGGTTTGGTTTATAAAAGCCTAAGCGAGAACTGAGATCATGACCCTCCCCACATCATGGAGTTCCAATACCCATCAGCCTCAGGCAACATGGCCAAAGATCATGGATGAAAGAAGTTAGGGTCCAGCAACATCTCTGGGTTTCAGATCTTCTGCTCTTACAGAACAAATTGAAACTCCAGGGAAAGAGCAAAACTCACTTAATACTGGACCAACATTTGTCTGAAACAGGGTTTTCTGCTTGAGCAGGGGGTTGGACTAGAAGACCTTCAAGGTCCCTTCCAACTGTGTTATTCTAGTCTAGTCTAGTCTCGTCTAGTCTGGTATTTCTATCCTACACTATTCTATCGTATCCCTTATCATCCCTTATCCTATCCTCCTGGAAAAACCTCTTATGTCTCCTCCAAATATAGGTTGCAAAAACAGATGATGACGACTTTCAGGATTTCCAAGATGCATCCAAGTCGGGGGGACTTGACGATACCTTTACAGATTTTCAAGGGGAAGCACCGGGATCAAAGAAAACGTCAGCTGCACAGCAGCGGGGCAGGTAGAGAATTTGACACTCTCGTGTAACTATCAGTTTTTTGCATAACGCTTTTTAATCAAGCCGAGAAGATATAGACCAGGTCAGTCTTTCTCAGCCTCGACACGTTTAGAATATGGGGACTTGAATTCCCAAAATCCCCCAACCAGCATGGCGCGCATCTTAAAAGTTGCTGAGATTGAGAAATCCTGGACCGGGTTACTGTTTTCAGTTGCTCTTGTCATCTTCATCTTCTTTTAATGATTCCATAATCCCTTGTGGGGTGGAGTCTGGGCAACTGAATGGAGCTAGCAGAGTGTTTATTAGCCAGATGCCCTTCCTGTCGCCAATGAGGAGTTTTGTTCAGCAGATGTATTCTCATCATGCCCAAAGAGTGAAATATCTGCCTCTACCTAGGATCGAACCCACAGCCTCCTGATTGCGAGATGAGAGCTCCACTTCTAGGCCTCCGCACCACTCCTTTTCAGTTACTCTTGTGCCGTGTGCATTATTCTCAATGATAGGAATGGTAGCCATCAATTTGGGAAAGTGGGCCAGTTCAGGTAGTCCTCCATTTATGACCAGCATTGAGCCTGGAATTTCTGTGACTAAGTGAGACATGGTGAGTTCTGTCCCATTTTACAACCTTTCTTGCTACAGTTGTTAAGTGAATCACTGCAGTTGAAGAGCTATGGTGGGTCAGTGGTTAGGTGGGTCAGTGGTTAGAATGCAGTATTACAGGCTAAATCTGCTCACTGCTAGGAGTTCGATCCTGACCACCTCAAGGTTGACTCAGACTTCCATCCTTTCAAGGTCAGTAAAATGAGGACCAAGATGATTGGGGGCAAGACGCTGACTCTGTAAATTGCTTAGAGAGGACTGTAAAGCACTGTGAAGCGGTATATAAGTCCAAGTGCTATTGCTAAGTCAGTAGCATGGTTGTTAAGTCAATCTGACTTCCCCATTAACTTTGCTTAACTCGCTTAACAAATGTCTCGATTAGCAACATAAGTGTTGGGCTCAATTGTGGCTGTAAGTTGCATGCAGGAGCGAATTGGTAGTAAAAAATAATGGAAACCCACCACTGGCATGTGAGTGTGTGTGCGGGTGTACATTTCAGCATAACACTGGAACGCCTCAAACAATTTCAGCCAAACTTGGTGCACAGATGACTTACTCTCTGGAAACAAATACTGTGGGGGCAAAACAACCCCAAAACTCCTTGGGGTTTGTGCTCTGTTACGATACAGCCTGTTGTGCCTTTAAATTGCTTCTACTGTACTGCCATAAAATGACTTCTACTATCCAGCGCAGTGAAGTTGCCATGGTAACGGCTTCACATTACTTCACAAGGACACTGCCTCTGGTAAGGGGGGAAAATCCAACATTAGAAATTACGTTTCACCCTATAAATAAATACCAGGACAATGCCGGGTTATCGGCTAGTAAAGAATAAAGAAACAAAGAATCATGAAATGTTGAGGAGGCTGCCAATCGTAAGTGTGAGGTCCAGCTATTAATCACATTTTTCAGTGCCATTGTAACCCTGAACGGTCACTAAAGTTATAAGCGAGGACTACCTGTACTTCCTTCATTTCATCTCTCTCCTATCCTGTCTTCCCTTACTTGTCATTCTCAAGGTAGCTCACAAAACTGAGTAAAATGATACGCAGATAAATAATTCAGCAACACAGCAGAAGAAGAAAAAGCATCTAAAGGCGCATTAAAAACAACAGTGCTACACTGGAGGCGCTAAAATGATTTAAAAGCTCCGAGAAAATAAAAAGAAGGGGAAAAAACAAAAAATTGTTCTCCTGCTGTCTAAGTAATATTTAAAGAAAATGTTAGGTGCTCATCTCTACGTTTAGTAAAATGGTGATTCTGATGATTTTAAAAGTCTCAGTGATATCATTATTACCATTATCATAGCTATTAAAGGTAATGTATTGATCTGAATCAGAGATGACAAACTCAAGGCCCGTGGGCCGGATCCGGCCACAGAGTGCCTAGATATGGCCTGCAGGGTTTGTTAGGTATGCTCCCTGTTGGGAGAGCGAGTGCGTTCAGAGAAGCATTGTGAGAGTGTTGTTGGGGAACACACAAACCAGCATACAGAGACACTGCAGTTTAAATAGGCTTTTACTTTTGTGGAAATAGAGATATCAGAGTCCATCAAACAGTCCACGTCATACACAGATAAGACTGTCAGTCATCAATGTCTTTCAGTTCAGGGATAATCCAAATAACATACTCCATAATCATACAATCAGTCCGGTACACAAAGTTTGCTAACAGTTGCAAAACTTACAATAGCTCACGGCACTCAGATCAGATCATTTAGATTTTTGGAA